AACAACCATTTTGTATCTGTATATTCAAAATAGGACAGATATACAGCTGCATTCTCTTAATTCAATGAATAGAGAGATTTGTTTAAAAGTGTTTGTGAACAGGATATCATGTCTGCATCTTGTACAATGAATAACCACTAAGACAACAATATGCAACGTATTAATTATTGAAACTGTGCTAGCAATCAGTTTTGAAACTGTGACATTGCTAATTGTGTCTCAATAAAATTATGTAAAAAAAAAAAGAATGATGAGATGTTGAAGAAGTCAACCTGCCACTGCCATCTTTAAAGTTAAAGGAAGAGGTCAACCAGCAGGCTGGGAGACCAAGGCACAGGAAAACAGATCTACCCAGAGAGGAACACAGCCTTTATAACATGCTGGTTTTAGCACTGTGGAACTGTCAAGACTTCTGACCTCAGAGCTGCTGGGTAGCAAATCTGCACTGATTTAAGCCACTTAAACATGTGGTAACATAGTAGCTGTGGGAAACCAATAGTATTTGATTCATGAAGTCTGCTTTTTAGAACTTAGAACTGAACAACTTGTGACAATGGTCTACTATGTAGTAAGCATTCAATAAATGTTAGTGTCCTTTTCAAAGATGGGAAAAAACTAATTTGTAATTAATTCTATAAAATAATATAAATGACACAACTAGGAATTATTTGTAAAAGACTACTTTATAATGAAGTTTCCAGAGAAAATACCATGAGATAACAAGTTATTTCTAAGAAAACTGCTTATTAATGCAGGCAGCGAACTCAAATGTATATGTGGGATCTGCAGGTAACATAAAGAGGCTATGCAGGTGCTGTACCAGACAGGAGAGGTGGCCCCTTTGAGAGGCAGACCTTGGTCTTGCTGATGACAATGAAAATGTAATGTAGGCCTGGTATTTTCAGATACTTCAAATTTTCAAGAAGCTTGAAATATTTACCTTCTTCCTTAAAAATTTCCCCCATTTTATGGGCTGAAGATAAAATTCAAGGCCTTGTATATACTAGGTAAGTGTTCTATCCTCGGATGAAAATCCAAATTCAAAACTCCAATTTTTAAATACTGGAAACCAATTCACATTCAAACACATACAACACAATGTTCAGGCAACACTGACCATGCTTATGAGCCATGCTAGTTCCAGAAATCCTGGGTTGGCATCTGTGGCCAATTAGTGAACATACATGAAGCCTGGAAGGGTAATGTGTATGCTAAGTATAATGAAGCCACATGCTCAGGCTGGTAACCTGTTTTTGAATGTAGTTTTTTGATTCTCTCAGTCTTACATGATAAAGTATCTTCCACAGTGCTTTTGGAACTCTAAATCTAAGAAACAATGACTTATACAAAGATTTTCAAAAAGATGACTTCAAATTGTGTTCAAATCAAATTTTATTAAAATTATTTGGCAAACTGGGAAGCAGTATAAAAACTATGACAATGGGACACATTAGATACAGGTTTTGGTTTGTTGTAGGCTTGGGTACACTACATTTTAAAGTAAGTTCTCTGCCCTTTAGAGAAAAATGGTCTTAAGTCTTTCTATTACCTATAGAAAAGGAAGTTGTAAAACATTGAAAAAATAAAATCCAAAGATCAAAAAATTCTCAATTATTAAGAGTTTACAAAGTATATTGAAAACATCTACATCTAGTCCTCCAGATAACAAAGTAGACAGCTGGCATCTGGATTCTTGTTTGTACTTATTGCAAATGATATCTCAGAGACCAAAGTATTTTCAAAGCTTACAACCCCCCCCTCCCCAACCACCTTCAAACTCCTACTATGGTTGCAGTGGAATTACAGGATAGAACCTGGAAAGCACTTGATTAGGTCTTTAAAATTTCAAGAGTTTTTTAATGGAAATTTTCTTCAATAGTAGTTCGGGGCACTATTTGATCATTAATGCTTTATCATTAATATCTGCCTTAGAGTAGATCTAAGCATTGGCTTATTTAAGTGTATTACTGGACATCAAACAGTGGAAGGCCTTCTGGTCCAAAGCAAAAATATTCAGCAGACCTTAAAGCAAAACCCTGCAGAATTGGGTGCTCCTTAGTTGTTCTCCAGTGAACCTGAAGTTGGCTGTAAAAGAGGAAAAGAGAAAGCTGTGTAAGAATCCTTGTACAAGGCATCCTTGCTTGTTCAAAGTAGTCTTGCTTTTCTGGCAGCCTAAGGAAAACTTGACTATGGCAAATTTGTTTTGTTCCAGTGATAAGAATATCTCTTAGACCTCAGAATGTGGGAGACAAAGACACAAAGAGGAAAGAACATGAGAAAATTCTACCCTTGCTCCGCTCCAAGGCTGTGATTTCATTAAGATTCAAAGCAACTGTTTTCAGTCTCTCTTTTAAAGTACTCTTTCTGGACATTCCAAAGACTAAAGAAAGGCCATTCCTCCCCAGAGCCAATTTATCTCATCAGATGCAGAAGACAGCCATACCACATTAGTGTTAATTGGTTGCCTGATTTTATTTAAGTGCAAATGCTTGTTCTTCAAGAAGAAAAAGGGGCCAACTGGGAGCCTGGCTCATCAGTAGAGCAACTGCCTATTGTGCACAAGGCCACCACACACACACTCACAATAGACACACATGCACAATGCACACAAATGACACTAGTTTAGTACTATCTCACTTATCTGTGGTCTAAATAGCTTTTTGGCTCAGAGAAAAAGCAATCAAGCAGGCTGGTTTCACCAAAAGAATCTAAACTTTACAAAGGCTAACTACGCATACTTGTATTGTCCCAGAAAATTAACCATTGCAATAGCATTTCTATCAAACAACACAGATTCTATTCTTATTCCCAAAGGAAGAGAAAACATTTTAAGAATGAGCATGAATATACAAATTCAAAATTTCTCAAGGAATAATTCTCTGCATCTAATTTAATTTTTTAAAGATCTAATTTGAAGATAGTCTTCAAAGTTTGAGAAACAGTTTAGATATAGTAGATCTTTCCGTAAGGTTAAAGTTCATCTCATTCTTCAAGAATGCTTAACTTACAATTCAAATATTTAAAACAATATTAGTACATACAGCATAATACTGTCAATCCATAAAGACATTTAAAGCCAGAGGAAAAGTTAGACTTACAAAAGGAGTCCTGATTCCAAATTTGCTGTGGAACGTCATGGTGACTTTGTTTTTATGTCCTGTCCTTTGATCAAAAGCATGGCATGTATCAAAAGGTGGGCTGTACAGGTGAAGGCTCACAGCAGGTTCTGTGTGGCTGACATTCTCTACGCGATGTAAGCCAATGGAATCTGAAGAATACCAGAAAGGGAAGAAAAGCTGCAGGAGCTTAGATGGTAGCTGAGGGCAAACATTTTGTTAATCATCTGTTATCTTGAATAAATACTGAGGCATATGGAACTAGCAGAAATTAGAACTTCTAGTTGCCATAGTAAGTGATGCGCATGCTCCTTCCAGGTGCAATAACAGAATTTTAAAAAGACACTGACATACAAAGAAAATAGGAAAAGAGAAAAGATTAACAAAATTGTGAAAGCTCCAAAGAGGATGGCTTTGAAAAGGAGGGACAGTGAAATCTTAAGCCATTTGTGGGGAAAACCAGGAAGTAATGTGTGGTTTGTATCTTAAAACTCTCAATTAGCTCAGCAACTGGCAGTGCCACAAAGGAAGAGTGAAGAGAGAGCTAAAATACACTAACTGATTGGAAGACCATTTGAGAAGAAGCAAATCCCTTTCACCAATTTTCCCTGCCTTGTCCCTGAGAAGACTGGGATCTGTTCTCTACATGGAGTACAATCAATGAACTGGAGACCAGTGAACTGCAGAGGAAAAAGAGGTGCATTAAGTAAAAATTTACACAGTAAAACAATGAGACTTTTCTCACCATCCAGGTGCCAAACAGGATTCTTTTCTTTAAGTCAGGAGATGCAAACAACTTTTCAAGGAATAGTATTGCTCAAACAAAATGCCCTAAAGAGCCTGTCACTGGAAGTTCCTCAAGGAAAGGTCTTCACCAGATAAAGTGAAATCTACTGACAAGTCCCAAACCTGTGTTCAGAGCTAGGAATTAACTTTTTTGTCCCTAGCTTTACACATTACAATGTAGCCAAGGCTATTAACACTGGAGCTAGCCTGTAGCACAGAGAACAGCCCAGAGTAAACTGCAAAAGGCAACTTGAAACAGACGCTATTTAGAAGGCTTTAAAAAGCCCATCGTGAATGTCCTTTGAGAGGTAAAGTGCCAAGCAAAGTCCAAAAAATAAGAGCTTTTAGAACTAAATACTCAAATAGAAGGGTGAGCAGAAAAAAGCTGCAGGGGACTCAATAAAAAGAGGGAAGGGGAAAAATTGGAGAATTCAGAATTTTAATACCTTAACAATTATAGTTTCAGAAACACCACCACCATGAGCAATAACCTGAGAATATGAATATATTTTTTTTGAGGCATGCAAATGTCTAGAGTTGAAGACTCTACTGAGAACCCAGCCCAGTGAAGGAGTCATCAAGCAGAATACAACACTGTGAAACTCCGCAACACTGTGGATGGAATGAAAACATCAAAAAGATTCCAAACATTCCTAGAAAGACAAGTAGAGTTCATAGGAATGTGTAAGAATGAGAAGGACACTGGGCTTTACACCTGAACAGTGGATACGAGAAGGCAAGAAGACCACAGTTCTGACAGAAGATGTCTGCCACGTCACCACCCATATTCAGCTGAATGACCAATCAAGGTGCAGGAGTTGAACATAGAGGTTTTTTGTTTTTTTAGAAGAACAAAGTCTAGAAGTGGAAGACTGAGGTTCAAAAAGTGACTTGCAAGGCTACATTTAAATATATGACAACTCTACAGATTTTCAGTCTTCCTTGTTTTGAAAAGTAGAACTGATTCCCAGACCAGCAAATATTTTGATTCTATAGTTCAGTTTTATAATGTATTGGCTTACAGATAATTTTGCACAAATGTTCAACATTCCTAAGAACAGACTGTCCTTTATAAAAATAATTTCTGTTTCAACTGTATGTATTCACACCATCCAATCTGTGGGGGGCAATCTTGCAAGCAAAAACTGCAAACACAAGGCATTCGTCCTTTAAGCCCGAGGCACGTATGAGCCTTACTGTTAATCCTGGCAACATCATTATTATATTTTGATCTTTGCCTCTTTTTCCTTTATGTGCATAGTGTACCCTCAATCACAGCAATCCTGAGTCTTTCTTAGTGATATTTATGAAGGCTGGTTATACTCATGCTCTATGGACTTTTTGTACAATTGCTTTTTGTCCAAACTTGACATACTTGCTCCATTTCTCTCCTCTCCTATATCCCATGCTGAACATAGGTGGCCTCAGCAGCCCAGATGCTCACTTCTCTTGCTTGCCTCTCCTGCTAAGTCCATCCAAGCCCTTCTTGCTTCTCCCCTTCCTTCTGACCCCCTTCCTGAAGTTTCTACTCTCCAAGCACTGTACTTTCACTCATGTTCTAGACTCAACACATCTTTCTTCTGATCACTTTCCATCTACACCCTTAATCTGGATCTATAAATATCAGAGATTGAAAATTTGTGGGGTTTATGTTATTTGGATAATTGGTCTACAAAAATATTTTAGTACATCTTGCTTTATATTTTGCAGATTAGCAAAGATTCACATAAATAAGAACTAACATTTCCAGATTCTGTTGAAAAAGAAATCAGGGTGCTCTCCTTGGTGAGTGCCCACCATCGGGGTCTGCACACCTATCACAGCACACCTACTGCAGTCTTGTCCTTAGCCTGTATCACTCCCTTCCAGTAGCTGATCTCACACTGACTCTAACTGAAAAGAACTAGTTTGTAAAGCTTCAGTCCTTATTGTATGTGGTATAGGCAACAACCTTGTTCTTGTAAAGTTGGTATACCTCATGTATGGCAACTCTCAACTATTTTTTAGAAAGAATTATGAGTTTTTACTACATAGAAATCTAAGCTTTGTGTTATATGGACAGAGGGAAAAAAGCTTCCCATAAAACTGACTTTTGTAAGATTCTTAACCTAATGATGGGACCAATTTAAGTCAAATCTCAAGACTAACACCAGACTTTAAGATACATAAAGGAAGAACAGGCACTGCCAGAAAAATCTGTAATGCTTTATCTTATATAAGGAGATTACATTGTAATTAAGAGAAGGTGTTTTGGAACCAAATTACTTGGGTTCAAATCTTGGCTGTTACTCAAAAGCTGAGTAACCTCACACAAAGTATTTAATTTTCTTCATGTTTTAGGGAAAGCTACTATTCATTTTGGGAATACAAAAGCTAAATCACTGCCTCTCCTGAGGACCATTTAGTTTTCCCACACCACATTCAGGAGAAAGAATGAATTCTTACTAAAATACTTATAAATCACTGCCCTGTAACATATTTTGTGAAATTTCCCATAAGGAAAGTCATTTAGTCATGCTATATTCATTTTAGGAAAACAGGGACTTGCTTATATTCTTAATCACTTCCAGAACATTTCCTTACGTTCTCTAACATAAAGACTATTTCCAAGAAATAAATATATTTATACGCAAGAGAGTTATGCAGCTAGTTTCCCTTAATTCATTGAAAAGAAAGATTTGTGCTAATATTGTTTAAACAAGATAGTACACCTATATTTTGTCCTCTGAATAACTACTATGAAGGCAATAATATACAACATATTCATTATTGTAACTCTCCTATCAACCTGTTTTGAAACCCTGTTTTATTGTTACCTTTACTTTTTTTTTCTTTAAAATAAGAAACAGACTATTTTCAGTCTGATCTTTTTTGTTGAGTCTACCTAATATAAATTCATCTTCTAAGATGACTGCTCTAAATTTTGGCAGGTAAATGACTTTTTGTTGGATGCTATCCTGCATACATGTTTTAAATAAACTATTCCAACCAAGATTCAAAACCTTGAAAAACAAAACCCACTGTGTTTAGGTCACTTCCCAAGTATGTTAAATCATGACTCCATGTTAGGCTCCACTCACATGTGCAAACAATCACTATTTCAGAAAAGATTTCAGTTTTTCCCACTCAAGCGCACAGAAAGGACAGGACGTTACCATTGATGTAGGCACACTGGTTTTCTCTCAAGGTTCTTTCAGACTTCTTGGTCATCTCATTGGACTTTTTGTCAGGCCAGGCAAATAAGGTCTCCTTCAGATTTCCTTGCAACATTTTCAGAAAGCAGTGGGAATCCGTGTGATCATGAATACTGCTATTAATACACAAAATGACAAGGGAACTCAGCAGTTGGTCCAGTATCCAGTCTGTCCTGAGCTGATACCTACACACTGGCCAGAGCACATCTTCCAGGCCCAAATCCATTTCAGAAGGTCTTTTAAAATGCCATCAATCCACAACTTAACATTGGTCAAGGTGAAGTAATAAAATGTCATCTGTATCAAGGAATATGAGACAACAGGTCCTTCCTTTTTTTTTTTTTTTTTCTTTGTTTTTTTTAATTGCTGGCACTGGGAAATGGACCCAGGACATTGTGCACCCTAGGAAAGCATTCTGCTCTTAACTTACATACTCAGTCCCTTATTTTGAGGAAAGATCACACTATGCTGCTTAGGCTGGCCTTGGACTTGCTATCTCCTGCCTTAACTTAAGTAGCTGGGGCAATAAGTATCTGATATCATACTGAAACAGGGCACAGTTCAGATGTGGCCTATAGTAATAAGTAGTCAGTTTTTAAAATGTTGTCAGGCTGGGGAGATAGCTCAACAGTCTAAGCATTTACCTGGCAAGCATAAGGACCAAGGTAGATCCCTGGTATTACATACCATTCCTGCCTTGAAACCAGGTGTGGTGACACACACCTATAATGCCAGTGCTGGAGAGGCTAAGACAGGGGGATCACTATGACTCTGAACTGCATAGTGAGAACCTGTATCCAATAAATAAATTTTTAAAAAATTAAAATGTTGTCATATTACTCATTTGGTAATAAAACCAGCAACTTTTTATCTCCTTCAAAATATAGCTTTTAGGGGGCCATGGAGAAGGCTCAGTAGAATAAGTGCTTCCCTGACAAGCACAAGGGCCTGAGTTCAATCCCTGGTTGGGGTGGGGGGAAGGAGGGGCTGGGGAAATGGCTCAGTGGAACAAGCACTTCCCCGGCAAGCACAAGGGCCTGAGTTCAATTCCCAGTTCTGCCAAAAACCAAAAATAAATAGAATGGGTAGTTTTCAGTAGCTCACTCAACCTGAGTTAGAATTCAATTTGGAGTATATCTTAGAAATGATAGTGTTTGTCTAGTATTTGAGGCCCTGGGTTTGATTCCAAGCACCATATAGCAAAACAACAAATATAACAATAATATAATAATAGAGAAAATTTAAAAAGAATAAAGATAATCATCTTTATAATTGTATGCCCTGAGATCAATTAGTATATTATTTAGTGTTTTGTGTTTTTTTCATCCATAATACCTTTTTCTTCTCTTTCGGAGGATGGAGGAGATGTGTATACATGTTATCCCCCTTAAATTATACTGTACATTATATAAAATGCTAATATCTAGAGATTTAGAGTAGCCATTCTGTGGTTATCTCCTAATACTGGTGGAGAGACTAAGTTGTGTTTGATCTTAGAACGAGCAGTATTTAAGTATATGAATTAGTAATGGCTATAAGGATGATTCAAACATATAGACCTGCATAGGGAAGGCACAATGCACACTCTGCAATCCCAGCACTTAGGAGGCTGAGGCAGGAGGCTTGTTGCAAGTTCAAGGCCAGCCTTGAGTATAGAGTGAGACCCTGTCTCAAAACACAATGCAACACAGCGCAACACTGAACCTGTATGTTTTTAGTGTCTATTTCAAATGTTGAATTCTATTAACCTGTATATGTATTACCAAAACTTGTTTCCTAAGTCCCCAGAGCCTAGGCCTATGCTTGATTAATAGGTTCATAAATAATATTCAGTGAATAAATATAACTCATTCCATATGAGTAAATAAGCAAACTCAATAGAGTTAACTTTCTAAAGCCTTAAAAATTCATTTGTCCTTTTTCCCATCAAAGACAGCTGTGGATCACAACAGTCCCACACCAGTGACCAGTGGAGGTCACGTTCCAGACACTCCTGAGGTAACTGAACATCAGTGAAGTAGCAACATTATATTTTAGTATTTATATATTTTTAGGGCTTTATAAACCTTTCCCACACTTTCAAAAACACTTCTACTGTCCTTAACCATTTTTTGAACTCATAAGCTTATGTAATTTTAACATATATATATATATATATATATATACACACACACACACCATATGGTACTGCAAAATCCCATAATATAGTGAAAAATCCATGATAAATAGTTTAGATTAATATTTTTTGAAAACCCGCAAAACAGAGAGTCCGCGAAATTCAAACTTCGAAATAGCAAAGGACTACCGTGCTGTTCTCTATCATCCTCACAAACTGGAGAGAATCTATTTTAAAAGATAATGATATTCAATCGACAATATGACTGGCAAACCCACAGACTAAAGAAACACAATCAACTTAAAAGAGTCAGTATTAGTTTATGCTGCTTTCACGGTAAAAAAGAAAAAGAAAGAAAAGCTAAATAATTAGCTTGAAGTAGGAAGAAATCCTCTGAGTTGTGAAATGATTTTCTAGCTCCAAATCTGATTTGGTCTTTGATCCCACAATTGTTTACACTTCTCAAACACCACAAAGGTCAGGTTTAAACACAATTTTATAAAAAGTTTAACTCCACTGAAGACAGACGTTCAGTTAAGGTGACTAAGGTCATTTGATTTACTACCTTTTGGGGGAACTGGTTTTAATATACATGCTATGTGCCTGAACCCCCTATGCTAATTCCTATGGCAAATGTGTTGGCATTGAAGGACAGAGTGAATTAGTATTCTGAAATGCGATCTGTTAGTCTTTGCAAAATTAGTGGCTAGCCTGGCAGTACGTGGGCCAAAGGCGCTAACGAAATGTCTTGAATGATTATATTACCTGCCATGCCCTTCCCCCCAGCACAGAATCATCAGGTTAAACTTCCCATTTCCTCGATCCACAAGATTTCGGGTATACCTGAAAGAAAAGAATGCATTCAGGAGTTCACAATGCACTGCTGAGATAAGGTTTAGGAAAAATAAGCCTTACAAAAGCGCCGCACATGTTAACAGTTCTACCACCAAGCAATTCTGCACACATGAAAATGATTCTTCACAGTTGAGTTTTGACCGTTCTACATTTTTTTGGTTTTGTTTTGGGTCGCTGGTCCCTGAAGACCACAGGACCTTTCTACATTTTGAATCATCTCAGTTTTGGCTTATGGTGGGAAAAAGATAACAAGGAACAGCATCCCCAAAACCAAATTCTGGACTTCTTTGTCGGTATCTAAGTGATTTTAAAAAGTTTAAGATAGAAGGTATTTGCAAAGCATACAAGTGCTCCATTGTAGAATACAACCGTTGTCATGGGTTCTTTTCTTCCTTGTGGCTGAACACAACTGGAGGAACAAGGTTTCATTAAATATCTGTTCTAGAATTCTCTGTAGCTTCACTGCTAAGTCCAGACACAAACCACATTCAAAAGCACTTAAAATGAAAAGTTCTTCAAAAGTAAGGTGGGGGTTGACCTAAGTACCAGAACAAAGGCTTCATTGCAAAGAGCACTAAACAAGACAAATCAATAACTGGCAAAAAACAAAACAAAACAAAACAAAACCCACAACAGCTATCACAACCACACTGCAACTATATACAGGGTGGGGAGTACTCAACTTTAAAGTTGTTGTTGGTCCAATCAGTAATAGTGTTACCATCTAATTAGCAAAATTTGATAATTATGGTATTCAACTGGTAGTCCTTTTCTTTTTACCCTGTTTTTAAAAAACTATTATAATAAAAATATTCAAGAAAGGAAACTTTGTTACTTATTATGTAGCTAGCTAGCTAGCCAGCCAGCTAATTAGCTAGCTAGCTAGATAGTATGTGGCCCAAGACAATTCTTCACTCTAAACAAAAGAAGAGAGCAAAAAGAGATGCACATGGCTGATACTGTTGTTTTTCAGGAAGGGATCTTGCCGCCTTTCTGGTGGGGTCCATTCGCTGGGCATCTGTTACCTCTTGTTCCATCTGCCTTTCCTGTCCTCTCCTGCCCCCTCTCTCAGGCTCAGGGCCAGCTACTGGCAGAGCAGTCCTTGAGGGAATTATTTAGTAAACACTTGAAGCTGTCAGTCCTCCCTTTGTTACTTGTTACACAGCCAGAAATTCACAGTAAACTGGGCTCCTACCCCAGGGTCTTACTTCTTTGCCAGTCTTAGGGTCACCTCTTCCAGACAATTGACTATCTGGGCCACACCAGCCAGACACGTTCTGTGGAACATATTCCATATTGGTTCTTCAATGTTGCGCACCCTCCTTGCCACTGCCCCCTCCAAGGTCACAGATCAGTGGATCTGATACATTCGGTACAACTTCTGCTCTTCCATTTTCCTCACTCCCTATTCGCCCAACTGTCCATGCAGAGTATCCTATTATCTTACTGAATTGTGCTGCTCACTTGGCTGCATTTCTTTTCTTTCTTTCTTTTTTTTTTTTTTTTTTGGTGGAACCAGGGATTGAACTCAAGCCTTTGTGCTTGCCAGTTAAGTGCTTATTCCACTAAGCCATCTTCCTGGACCCATTGGCTGCATTTCAAAAGGTTCTCATTCCAAAAATTAAGCTTGGTTACAATCTATCCTGGTTAATTAATTTCACTTAGCCAATACTACATCTAGTCAGATATATATTGTAATGAAACTATTACACGTCATAAGTCCAGAGGAAGTTCAATGGTGATTTGGAATATGGGCTCTAGAACAATTAGGCTTATTGCACTCTGATAGAAATGAGCCCTTGCACAATTTATCCAGGCACTTCATTTCCCATTTGCCAACCAACCCTGCTTGTAAGACAGGGAGAAGAATGGCATCTGGTTATGTGTAAAGTGACTGGAAGGAATACATAGCCCATAATAAGTTCTCATTTATCTGCAGCAAATGCAGGCAAAATTCAAATACTAGATTCTGATTCTTTACTGATAGGTGGAGGACTTGCCCAGGAACTGAGCCGAGAGGAACCCTCAAAAAATTCCAAAAGCCACATCACAAATTAAAAAATAGTAGAGTGATTTTCTGGGTACAGATCCATGGACCTTAGAGATTGAGGAGTGAACCAGTGGTTTGGAGACAGAAAAGGCTGATATGTGCTTAATTTGCGAAAGCTGATAGGGAATTTAAATAAACCCACAGCTGAGGAGGGCGAACTGGTTTGGAAGTGCAAGCAGCAGAAACTGAATAGTAGCAGTTGACAAAATTAACACGCTAATATACACGGGGGAAAATGGCTTTTTAAGGTGCCTGGTGGCTGGCACCAGAGCACAGTGCTGGAGAACTGAAGTCGGGGAATTCTGTCACCCACCCCACCCCCACTCTTTCTGGATAGCTGAGATGCATTTCTCCCTTGGAATCAGGGGGGTAGGAGCCTGGTTCTTCCGGCTGCCGGGGTCTCTGTGCACCTCCAACTTTGTGGTCGGTCATCGCTCCGGGGAGGGGGACGTTGCTCCTGAAGGGGGAGCATCGCGTGGTTTCAGCGGAGGAGTTTGAAGGCAAGGGGGAAGGAAAAAACCTCGTAGCCGCACGGTGGTCTCCTAGCCCGCCCCGGCCCTCCTGCGTGCAGTGTCTGCGCAGCAGCGACAGCAGGATCCACTTTCTCCAAGCAGAATCCCGGGAGCCCATCGCGCGCGGCGCCAGCCCCACGACCCAGAGCCGGGGTGCAGAGCGTGGACCCCGGGCTCCCCAGTCGGCGCGGCTTGGTGCTGAGGCCAGAGCGCTCTCACCTGTACTGATCGAACTTGGCGTACATCGCCCATTCGGCAGGGTCGCTGTCGTAGGCTTCCAGGACGGCCTGCACCTCCTCCACGTTGACCTCGTCGCCAGCGAAGAGCTGGTGCAGCAAGCTGATAAGCTCGGCCAGCGTCCGTGGCTTCAGCACCTCGGTCTGCTCCATCCTGCGCGGGTCTCCCAGCCGGCCCAGGCCCAAGAGCTGGCTGAGCAGAGGCGCGGGCGAGGGCCCCCGGCAGAAATCCAAGCAAACCCCACAAGGACTGGAGACCCGAAGCTGAAGAAGTCCCGCACAGAGCCGCCCCGACGCCCGCCCCTCGGGAGCTCCGTGCTTCTAGAAAAACAGCCGTGCGCTCCAGCTGCACCAAATCTGCAAAATTCGCCTCCTGGGCCCTTTTTAAAGTCTCGGAGGCAGCTGGAATGTACCAACGGTCCTCGCGGGGTGGAGCGAGCGCACAGCCACCTGAGCTGGGCGGCAGAGGCGGGGACGGCTCCCGGCACAGCCCGGCGCGGGGCATGGTCTGCCGCCCCATGCTCTTCTGGCTCCCAAGCCGGCTCCCCCTGCCTTGGAGGACGGGTCCCGCGGCCCATCCCTGCGGCTCTTGTGGCCACTTCCCGGGTGGGGGTCGCAGGGCGGGGACTCGAGGGTAGAATCAGGATTCTGCGGGACTGTGGGGAAGAAAGGGCAGGAAACCCACCTTTTTTGTTTGTTTGTTTGTTTGTTTTTCAAATAGAAGCAAGGAGTCCTAAAGAGTCCTAGGCGATTGAAGAGGGAAGTCCAGCCCCAGCCTACACAATGGATAGGAACTATGATAATATACCCAAGACCAAACAAAAATGAAGGGTTTTGCACAATAGTGTTAAGTCCATTTTAACAAGAAAGTCGGGGTTCTGGTAAGACTAATGTAACAATGGAAAGCTGTGGCTTCCAGGTATGGCTTTAAAAATCAAACGTTGTCTGAAAGAAGCACCCAGAGTCGGGAATGGTAGTATACGCCTGTAATCTCAGCACTACAAGAGCCTAAGGAGGGGGATCAGGAGTTCGAGGCCAGCCTGGGACCTCTTAGCGAGAGTCTACCTAAGAACACCAGGAAGATGCAGTGTGAAGAACCTAATGTTTCTGCTGTTGATAAGGTGGCTTTGGGGGGGGGTGTAAGAGATAATTTATAAGGTAATTTGAAATGCAACTATGGATCCCTTCTCACTAAAAATAGACCCAGGGAATAAATTGGGTTTAAGATTATTAAAGGTCTAGGATTCTGGAAAAATGATGTGGTTATTCTGTAGGCGATTCCCTCTCTCCCATGTATAATGAAAGTTACAGGCACCACATAGTCATATTTAATATACTAACGATGTTGTTAAGGAAGAAAAGCAGCTCAGCTGTCATTATTGAAAGAAGAATGCATTGGGAGAAGCCAGCCTTTGCGGTGTGATTGCTGGGAGGTGATGGATAAAGTGTTCAGGGCTCAAGGAAACTGTACTTCACATTGTGGCCTCAAAAGGTTTTTTCTTTCCTTTTGGTCAATGTTTTAAGCCTCTTAATTATTTCATTTCAGGTATGGAATCCATTAATATTTGGAATGAACAAAAATCAAACACGCTTAATTTGCCTTCTCTGCATATCAGTTGACTTTAGTTGTCTGACAATTCATTTTTCACTTTTCCCTTTTTGAACTTCTCATTCCTTTTTTGAGCTCCGAACACCTTAAAGATCTTCCTTGGTATAGGCACATACATTTCTCTGTACTGCCACTCTAAATCTCATTCTGTTCCCCGCCCTCCTGGTTCCATTGTCATCGCTGGGTAGGCGCTTCCCACACACCCCTAATCTTAAGTGTTCACTACACTGGGTAACCCTTTTTGGGACGTCAAGTGCAGTAAGTTAGTAAATGTACTCTAGCCTGCTCTTCAAACAGCAGAGCTCCTATTTCTGTGGTGAAGGCACCAAGCCTAAACCTCATCCACCACTGCATAATCTTTCCTGGTTATTTTCCAACTTCTTGCAACTAACAGCCTAAATTTTCTTTCTCCCTTGGTTTTCCATTTATTTTATTGCTATTCCACTCATTCAAGCCTTTATTTCATTATGGCTGCTTTACTGTATTTTATAGTTCTAGTTTTCCCCATGCACGTCCTTCCGTCATACTGATTATTTCCTGTCACAAATGCTCAGTAACCCTGACTTCACCACGTAATAGATTTTGTCAGCCTTACAGTAAAGTTCCCCAAATTTTGGTTAAATTACTGTTTCTTGATCTTTCATCCTTTATTACTCTTTATAAATATATCTTCATCCAAACTTATTACACTTATTATATCAATTCTTTTGCTTAAAGTTTTGTGTCTACATTCTAGAGGCTGTTTCAGTTGTCCAAATCCCACTCTGGTTCTTTCATCCTCCCAAATGAACAATCTCTTCTTTGGAACAACTGGACTGATAATCAGTATCTTAAGGTACTCACCATCTCTAACCATGTATTGCATTTCCTTATGTGGATCACTTTGATGGTGAAAATCTTTAAGACAGGTTTTACATACATTCTATTTTCAAGAAGGGGCTCTTACTATGTTGCCCCAGTAGGCCTTGAACTTGTGGGCTTAAGAGCCATTTCCCTGCCTCATCTTTCCCATCAGTGGCTGGCACAGTCCTGTGTGCATGTTAGACATGCAAGAAATGCTAATCTTGAGTGCATGCTTAGTGAAGTTAGGAAAAACTTATCATTAATCGGGTACAGTAATGCAATTGCTAACTTTCCATGGGGATCCTGCAGTTGTCAATTTAAATCCAGGAAAAGACACTAGAAATCTTTCCAGGAGATGTATATTAACTAGTTATAAAAAGTGTTATTGACATTATAGGCTTTATTAATGTAAACATATCAGGGTCCAGACAGATAGTTCTATTGTACTTGAGACTGCTCAAAGCAATGACTATCACGTCATAAGAGATATTGCCAAGGGCGTAGATATACAAAGAAAGGAACTAGAATTATTAAAGGTATAAAAACAATGTGTCCTATAGCCAACATATTTTTAAAAGCAGATACTACAAGTGAGGTATTGTTCACACAACTAAGTCACTGCCCTCAAGTTTAGTCTTATGGGACAAGGTAGGGACACAACAACAAATACCGTATGCAGTTGTATTAGTTTTCTCTGGCTGGGCAGAACACTTGGGAGGACACATTTACACTGGCTCACAATTTCAGTTCAAAGCCAAGGGTCTCAACAGAAACATCATGGCAGAAGGGAAGGAAAGAAGCTGCTCATCTTATGACAGCCAGGAACCTGAGAAAGGAAAACCAAATAGAAGGAGCACGGGACAAGATACACCTTCTAAGCCCCACCCATGCACTCTGCTGCACTGGGGAATAAGCTTTCTATGAATCTCTGGGGACGCTTCACATTTAAACCATACACGGAGAGACAGACACACAAATACTAACTGTATACAGTATACAATGGAGAAAAACAAGAGGACTAGTTGGGTGGGGACAAGTTGCTGTTTTAGAGGGTGTGAGAGGGAATGAAGGGAGGATGTTAATGAGACATGTTTAGGAGAAGTTTCTAGGCTGAGGAAATAGTAGGTGCAAAAGTTCTGGGATAGGTACAGTCATGTTTAAATAAGAGCACAAATGAATACAGCTACCTGGTAGAGCATGGGGAAGTGAGGATTACACATCACATAGGCTCTTATAGGTCAGAATAAGGACTTCAGCTTTCAGTCCCCTAAGTGGAATGTCTCAGTTACTTTTCACTTGTTGTTGGGACAAATACCCAGCACTCAAAATTAAGGAAAGAAAGGTTATTTAGCTCACAGTTAGTGGAGGTTTCAGTCCATGCTCACCTGGCTCCAAGACAGAGTGGCATGTGGCAGAAGGCAGTTCACAGTGGCAGAAAACAGCAAAACAATGAGAGCAAAGGAAGGAGTAGAAGCAATAATGGCCACAGAGCAAGTCTGTCTCCTTTATGTGTGTGGCACCCACACACATAATCCCAACAACACTCATACCCATAATCTCAGAACTGGATCATGAAATAATCTCAAACTCTAGAAGTCCCCTTCCCATGACTGCATAAGGCTTTGGGGGAGCAACTAGACACAAACTATAACATGGAAGCCACTGGAGAACTTGGGCCACAGAGCAGTTACTGTGGAGCCAACTGGTTAGCCATTAAAATGATATACATATATGAGTGGACCAGGTTGGGGGGTGCCTGTAGAAGAGGTGAGAAAAGGTTGAATTCTAACTAGTTCTTAAGGTTGAAGGTAAAGCTTTCAGGATCTGCTGACAGATATGGCTTGGAAGAGGAGCCAAGAGGTAGCTAAGCACATGGAATGAAAGAATTTGTTATCTAAGATACTGTGGAGAACTAGACACTGCAACTGGGAACCAGGAGTTCAATGAGGCAAGAAAATAGATTTAGGCACACTGCAAAGAAGACAGTTTTCCAGTGGTCATTTCACAATGCACAGAGTGTTCCCCTCACCCTTCTTTACTGTGCACACAAGTATTTGTCATGAACTATTATTCCTTAGTTTACATCCTGATATTTCACAGTTCAGAACACTGATCAGTGACAAACACCTATGGAACTCATCCAAAGAAACCTTTTCTTATATTACTGTGCACCCTGAAAGATAATAGCATTCCTTATTATTTCATAAGAAATTATGTAGAAATTTCGTAGAAATCTGTGTACGCCTTCTTTCTTGGTTTAGCCACACCTTACTTATAGCAGAAGTAACCAACGTAAGATTCATGCTGTTAAGTGACATAAAATGAACCACAGAAATTTGTTGGGAACAGCTGAGGCTGAAAATTGTTCCGTGTGAGGGTAGGATAGCGCCAGAGTGCTGACAGCAATGAAGCTACCTCAGTCCTAAGAAAGCATCCTGCCTGAACAATTCCTGCCATTGGTCACTAGGCAACCTTGTGTCTTGTGATACTAACTTTGCAAAGGTATAAACACCCCTACTGCCATTGTTCAGGTCCTTTGCCCATCAGGCAAACAGACCTCCACCTGAACCTAGCTCTTGTCATCTTGTCTATCTTTTCCTCATTCCTGCCACCATTTCTCCCCAAGGTACACCAACAGACCAACTATCTACATTTTGGCACCTGAACAGGCTGGGTATAGCACCCACACCCATAATCCCAGCAACATTCATACCCACAGTCCCAGTACTGGATCATAAACAACTAAACACAAAGTCTAGAAGTCCACCCCATGACTGCATGAGGTTTTGGGTGAATAATTATAGACACAAACCATAACATGGAAGCCACTGGAGAATTTGGGCCATAGAGCAGTTACTGGGAAGCCAACTGGTTAGCCATTAAAGTGATATACATATATGGGTGGGCTGGGT